CCATAGATGCACAGTTTATGTTCAGTCTCTTCTCACACCCCCTCTCCCCTTTTCCCTGAGAATCGTCAGATCACTCCCCTTCCATACCTCTGATTCTATTATATTCAACAGTTAATATTGTTTATCAGATTTTTTTTTAATTCCCTTGATTTTTAGATTCACTTGTTGATAGTTACGTATTTGTTGTTCATAATTTTTATCTTTATTTACTTTCTCTTCTGAAAGAACCCCCTTCAGCAATTTATATAATTCTGGTTTGGTGGTGATGAACTCCTTTAGCTTTTTTTTGTTAGTGAAGCTCTTTATCTGGCCTTCGATTCTGAGTGATAGCTTTGCTGGGTAGATTGTTTTGGCTGTAGGTTTTTACTATTCATCACCTTGAATATTTCTTGCCATTCACATCTGGCCTTCATGGTTTCTGTTGAGAAATCAGCTGACAATCATATGGGTGCTCCTTTATAGGTAACTACCTGCTTTTCTCTTGCTGCTTTTAATATTCTCTCTTTGTCTTTTGCTCTTGAAATTTTAATTATGATGTGTCTTGGTGTGGTCCTCTTTGGATTCCTTTTGTTTGGAGTTCTGTGTGCTTCCTGGGCTTGTAAATCTATTTCTTTCCCCAGGTGGGGGAAGTTTTCTGTCACTATTTCTTTCACTATGTTTTCGATATCTTGCTCTCTCTCATCTTCTGGGACCCCCATAATTCTGATGTTGGTTCGCTTGAAGTTGTCCCAGAGGTTTCTTACATTATCTTCAACTTTCTGGATTCTCTTATCTTCTTGCTTCTGCGGAGGCATATCTTCTGGCTCTTTATGTTCCAAATCTTTGACTTGATTCTTGTGATCTTCCATTTTGTTTTTAGGACTCTATATAATATTTTTTATTTCAGAAAATGTATTCTTTATTTCTTGTTGATCCCTTATTGTTTCTTGTTGATCCCTTATTATTTCTTGTTGATCCCTTTACATATCCTCATAGGTCTCGTTTGTTTTATTGGCCTTTTCTAGGAAATTCTTGAAAAAACTTATAAGTGGGGTTTTGAACTCTATATCCAGTCGCTTTTTGTCCTCCATTTCTTTCGTTTGTGATCTATTTCCTTGTCTCGGCATTTTTGCAGCTTCTCTGAGTTGGTAGCCTTAAAAGTCTCTGTGTTCAGCTTGGATGGGAAGGAGTTTTGGGGTGGAGCCTACAGCCTTGGCTTCCGTCAGCCCCCCTATGCTGCTCCTGAGTCTCAGTGTTCCTCAGAGTCCTTCGGTATTCACTACAAGCACCTCTGAGAGAAAGGTGCCCTCGAGTTTCGCCTGCTACTAAACAGTCTAGGCTCTCCCCCAATGAGCCTGGAACTGGGGTTCAGTTCAGTTGGAAGTGGGGTTCAGACAAGTCTGGAGCTTTTGTCTCCTTTTCGCCAGGGCAATCAGCGGCACAGTCAATCGTCCGTTCTCTGTGCGCAATGTGTGCGCCTCTGGGACTTCCTTTCGCCGCTCCCCCGGGTTTCTGCCTTACAGCCCAGGCTCCCTCTGTATGAGCCTGGGTCCCCGGGGTCTGGCCAAGAACTGGGGTTCAGTGCAGTCGGAACTGGGGCTCAGCACAGTCTGGAGCTTTTGTCTCCTTCCCGTTAGGGCAATCTAGCAGCAGAGTTAACAGTCCGTCCTCTGCGCGCAATGTGCACGCCTCCGGGGACTCTGCCTTTTGCCGCTCCCCTGGGATTCTGCCTCACAGTCCAGACTCCCTCTGTATGAGCCTGGGTCCCCAGGGTCTGGCCTAGAACTGGGGTTCATTGCTATTGGATCTGGGTTCAGCACAGTCTGGAGCTTTTATCTCCTTCCCGCCAGGCACTCAGCCTCCCCCTCCTCTCTGCGCGCACAGCGTGTCTCCGTACCTTAGGCTGTTACAACTCCTCTGCTTTTCCTTCTGGTTTTCTCTTTCCTTCTTGTTGTAGAATTTCCAGTCGACTTTCCTGTAGTTCTGGGTAATGTCCATTTTGTATTTTATTGAAATTGTTGTGTGAGGCTGTGGTTAGGTGTTTACCTGTGCAGCCATCTTGGATCCTCTCCGATGGCCTTCATTTTAAAGTTTATTTGTTGGATGTGATTATTGCTATTTCATCTTTTTGTTTTTTTCTTTTTCATGTCCCTGGAAAACTTTTTTCCAGCCCTCACACTCATCTGTGTGTGTCTTTTGTTCTGAGGTGGGTCTCTTGTAGACAGCATATAGTTGAGTCATGTTTTTGTATCCATTCATCTACCCTACACCTTTTGATTAGAGCATTTAATCCATTTACATTTAGGGTTATTATTGAGAGTTATTTATTTATAGCCATTTTAATTATGTATGGCTAGGTTTCTCTCTCTGTTTCTTCTTCTCAGCAATCCCTTTGGCATTTCATGTAATGTTGGCTTGGTGGTGATGAACTCTGTTAGTCTTTTTTTTTTCTTTTTTTTCCCCCTTTGGGAAGCTCTTTATTTGACCATCTATTTTGATTGATAGCCTTGCTGGATATAGTAATTTGGTCTCATACCCTTGCTTTTCATTACCTTGAGTACTTAATGCCATTCCCTTCTGGCCTGTTGAGTTTTTTATGAGAAATCAGGTGTCACTCTTATGGGAGCTCCTTTGTAGGTAACAGTTTGCTTTTCTCTTGCTGCCTTTAATATTCTCTCTTTGTTTTTAATTTTTGGTATTTTAATTATGATGTGTTTGGGCATTGGCTTGTTTGGCTTCTTCTTGCTTGGGGTTCTCTGTGTCCCTGAACTTGTGTGACTTTTTCCTTTACCAGGTTAGGGAAGTTTTCTGCCATTATTTCTTCAAACACATTCTACAGCTTTTCTCTCTATGCCACAGTCTTTCTGCAGGTAGGGTTCAGGAATCTGGAGAAGGGCTATGCATAGATGAATAGAGAATAGACAAGATTTTTAAATTCAATGGAAAGGATTGAGTTCTTTCATGTCCTTTTAAATTGCTGCCAGGAATCAAAGGAATCAGTCTGTAGTAAACTTTCTGGGCCATCAGTTCTTTGAGTCCCCTTTCCAATCACTGTCCAACAGTTTTTTATGAGTTCCTTTCTCAATCACTGTCCCCTGTGATAAGACAGCAATGATACTCTAGTTCTGGATAGTGGACAAATGGTGAGCAATGGCAATGCAGGTCTGATCTTCTTTGGCTTGGTCCTGAGCAACCTGTGCTGATTGATGCACAGCTAATGACTGCTAGCATGGTAAGGCATCTTCATTATCCCCAGTCTCTGGACTCTCTCCTCTGTCTCACCAGTGTGTTGCTTGGGACTACTGCTGTCTGTGGATGGAGTAGTCTGGATACCTCCTCCTGTGATTCATTGTGGCAGGAATCCATACAGGCTTAGTGTAGTTTTCTGGAAATATATAAGCATATCCTTGATCAAAGGTTATTAAAGGGATCCTTTTTATAAACTAGACTTGGGATCTTTTTATTTTGCCAAACCATTGTCCTTTGGCTTATTCTGATACTATGTGTGTCTTGCTATCAGCATAACAGTAAAAAAATTTAAAATAATTAAGGCTTAATATAGTTTACTTACATGAGATTACATCACTATCCCCTTCTTTTGTTTTAAATATCAAAAGGGGGCTTTTGGAAATTCTATAATGCAGCCTTGATAGCTTTTAATTCAATTCTTTGCACAGAAATATGACTGCTCTGGACTCATTGCATGATAAGCAGTTTTTACTGAGATGAACTATCAGTAAAAAATAGTTAATGCTCCAAGAACAGGTTCCTGCCTAGTATAACTAAGTTCCCCTGAATATTCACTTATTTCATTCTGCCAATTTGAATCAGTCTGAAATAAGGCTTATTTTCTAACTTTTTGTTCTTGCATGTGGACAGTAAATGACACTAATTGAATTCCTGCTATCGGTTTGGAATATATTTGCATAAATTTTACTTAAGGAGAATTAAATGCAAATTATTTACTTTTTTTATGAGGCCTAATACATTGAATTTCAATTTCAGTTTTTCAGACATTTGAAAGAAACCTCCCTTTATTTCCTCCCAGAGTAATTCCCAGGTTGCATTTAGGAAGCTGCTTTTAAATGTCACTTTTCTTCCTTTTAAACCAAGCAATACATTTGGTTGCTTTATAGTTGGTAACTAATGCTGCTATGCCTATATTTTAAGTCACTCTCATTTTATTCATGGTGACTTTATTAATGATCAAATTTAATGCTTGAACAATAACCTTCAGTTTACCCTGTAAATATCAATAGTAGCAGAAGAGATTTAAAAATTTCTCCTTTTTATTAAGCTTAAAATTTACTTTTAAACAGCATTTTTTTTTTTTGGCTAGTGCTCATTTGCATACACAGAGGGATTATAGGAGGTCTTAGGAACTATTTCAGAGGACTGGCGGTATGCAAATTTTTACCTTGGCCTTTGTTAAAGCCAATTGCTTATAAACATATTAACTTCTCATATAACTATACTCTGACAACATGTCCTGCGTACTAACAGGGACATGCCCAGCTGATGCCCTGAGATGGGCATCATGTTACCCCTGAGCATCCATGTGGTCTGGGGTTCAGTGATGGCAAAACCATGGTGCCCGGTCTTAAACATCCCTGTGTGTGAGGTGCAGGGATGTGAACAGCCTCAGAGACAGCCTGTGAGACAGCCTACGGAGAGATTGTCACAGGAGCGCCTGCTCTTGAGCAGCCTGGGATGTGCTGGAGTTGGGGGAGGATGACAGATGTGACCAGGGGCATAGAGAAGTCTAGACTGGACAGGGATTTGAGCTTTGTTCCCCATCAGGAGGAGGCGGTGGCTGCCGGGTTGTGCCGCCCACAGGTGGGTGGTCAGGGACGCCGAGGGCTGTCTTTGTGGAGTGTGTCGGCAGGGAGTGTGGAAGGTCCCTGCAGCAGATGGAGGACTGCAGGGAAGTGATGGCTTGGCCTTCCTCACCTTTGTCGGAACATGCATGAAAGCGTGTGCATCTCCTGTGCTCATGCATCTTTCCCCGTGTCCTTTTGTAGTTGCAGTATGGTGACAGCAAGGACAACCCCCTTAATTACTGGCTTTATAAAGAGGAGGGTGAAAGAAGACACAGGAGGCACAAAGAGGCTGATCGAGGAAAGAGGCATCCTGAGAAAAGCAGCACCAGGGAGAAGAGAGAGAAGTACTCCAAAGAAAAAAGCAGCCCGCTCTCCAAAAATGAAGGGGAAAGAAGACACAAAGAGAAAGGACATAAGGAAGGCTTTTCCTTGGAGGACGAGAGGCACCGAGGCAGCATGGACAGGAAAGAGCGGCCATCGAAAGAGGAGCAGAGGAAAAGGGAGCTCAAGGTGCGTGTGCTGGTGCTGCTGGCCCGGCCATCCCAGGCGCCCTGGAGCAGGAGCACGACTGAGTGTAGCCAGCGGCACTGCTGAGTCATCGCCGGGTCAGACATGGTTCATGTCTGTTCTGTGGTCAGTACAGAGACATTCCTGACCTAGGAGATAGGAAGGCTTTTTGACACTTTTCAGAAATCTGTCGTAAAATTTTGAAATGTAACAGAGAAAGCTGATATTTTATTTATTTATTTAGTCATCACCCGAGGATATTTTTTCCATTGATTATTAGAAGGCATGCAAGGGACAGGGGGAGGGGGAGAGGGAGAAGAGAGAAACATCGAAGGGAGAAAGATATGTTGATTGGTTGCCTCCCTGGCTCCAGGGATCGCACCTGCAATCAGATCCATTCCCTTGACCAGGAATCCAACCGGAGACTGACCTTTGGCCCATGGGCCCACACTCTTAACCACTGAACACCGGCCAGGCCTGTCAGCTGCCTATCCATGGCCATTTCCACAACCTAATGTGTTTTATCTTAAATCATTTATTAATGTAAGAGAAGATTATTAAAAATTTTTTTCTATAGGTGCATAGATCTGTGAAATAGCCACATTCCATATGTTTGAAAGTTTAATTTTAAGCAGGGTAAGGAACTAGTCCTACTTTTCTAAAAAGAATATGAGATTGATAAGTATAACTTTCTCTTACTGAGCTACTGCATAGTCACCTTTTAATATATCTACTGTTGTTCATCCTGTTTACGTTATTACCTGACTAAAAATACATATGGCATAGCTGCTGCTGTTAAATTTTGAGTCCATGCTTGTTTTGCAGAGTTTATTAATTACAGTTAATTCATTTTGATTTACTAATTATTGGTTATGGAATTTTTTCTTTTACAGAATGTTGAACACAGAAACCAGGGTGGCAGTTCAAAGAGAGATGGGACTGGCGGCCAGTAAGGAATGCGTGTCCTCTGGCTAATTATTATGCGTAACACGTGGAATGCTGAATTTTTCTTATTGGGCATAATTATAGCCAGAAATGACAATAAGTGATAGATATACTTTACTTACTCAACCCTCCAAATTGTATCCGAAGTACACTAGGAAAATGGAAACTTGGTACAAGTTATTGATCTTATTCTGCCTTTTTGTATTTGCTCATGCAAAATTAGAAAATCAGAACTCTCTTTGGGGGAGTAGCTCATTTGGAAGATGGCCCTCCCTGGGGGACTGCCCAGCCCTGGAGGAGAGAATGTCTGTGGGAGGGCTCTTGTTCCACATCTGATACCACGGGAGAGGCCCGCCATCCCAGCCCAGGGCTGTGGCTCAGTGAAGCCCGCAGGACTTAGAGCAAGGGTGTGGCACCAGTGGCTTGTCTGCCTCTCTCTGGGCTGTCGGGGATCCTTCAGAGCCTTTTCTTCACAAAAGTGATACCCATTTTGAGTGGGTTTTGTGAAGATTAAAGATTAGAGTGTATGAATAACCTCGTTTTGTATATAAGCTGTAGATTTTAGTTTGTTCTTTATGGCATCCCTATTTGACAGTTTTTAAAAATATATATATTTTATTGATTTTTTACAGAGAGGAAAGGAGAGAGATAGAGAGCTAGAAACGTCGATGAGAGAGAAACATCGACCAGTTGCCTCTTGCACACCCACTACAGGGGATGTGCCCGCAACCAAGGTACATGCCCTTGACCGGAATCGAACCTGGGACCTTTCAGTCCGCAGACCGACGCTCTATCACTGAGCCAAACCGGTTTCGGCTGACAGTTCTTTTTTACAGATTTGGAAAAGGCAGACTAAATGCCTTGCCCAAATTCTTTCAAGTTTGAACAAAGTTAGCACTTAAACCCAGGGGTGCAAATTCTGGGCCTTTATGCTGCCAGCCTGCTGGAACGTACAGGGAAGCTGTGCTCAGCTGTGGCCTCCTCAGCCACACGCTACAATAAATGGGGTGAATGTAAGTTCTGAAAATTGAGAATTAATTTGAACATTTGAAAGCTTTAATTTTAGGTTCCAACTATCATTTAGCATATGATTACCAAATAGAACATTGTAAGGTAAATCTTCCTTTTGTTTTAAATTTTTTTAAAAAAATATATTTTATTGATTTTATACAGAGAGGAAGGGAGAGAGATAGAGAGTTAGAAACATCAATGAGAGAGAGTCATCGATCAGCTGCCTCTTGCACACCCCCTACTGGGGATATGCCCGCAACCAGGGTACATGCCCTTGACCGGAATCGAACCCGGGACCTTTCAGTCCCCAAGCCAACGCTCTATCCATTGAGCCAAACCGGTCCCGGCTGTTTTAAATTTTTAAAAAATATATTTTATTGTATTTTTACAGAGAGGAAGAGAGAGGGATAAAGAGTTAGAAACATCGATGAGAAACACCGACCAGCTGCCTCCTGCATACCCCCCCACTGGGGATGTGCCTGCAACCAAGGTACATGCCCTTGACCGGAATCGAACCTGGGACCCTTCAGTCCCCAGGCCGACACTCTATCCACTGAGCCAAACTGGTCCCGGCTAAATCTTCCTTTTGGAAATCCAAATATTACATTAGGCATAAAATAACATTTGGGATTGACTAATAAAATTATAGGAATTTTCTAGAACTCATATAAGGATGCAGATTCATATACAAATTTGTGAAAACCCAGTTTCTTCTCTTTATGGGAGATGTTTGTGTTGGGATTACTGCTGAAACAGTAGAAGTGCTAGGAACACTTAGTGTTTACCGCTCTGATAAAAGCACGCTTTGGGAACTGCCATGTACAGTGGCCCTTCATCTTGTCCAATATTGAGAAGAGCCTCTGCTGACATCTAAAACGACCTGTTTTTAAAAAATTAATTTTGGTTTTGATCATCTTTTCTTTCTAGGCATGCAGAGGATGTAGTGAGGAACAGTGGGAAAGATAAAGACTCGAGAAGGAAGGTAAGACTGTCACGCTGACCTTTCTGTGCAGGAGGCTAGCCAGGCACTAATTTTGCCTGATGGGTCACTGGAGTGGTGGCTCCCGGAGGCACCTAAGAACCACGCCAGATTAAAAGCCTGAAAGAGATTGGAGGCAAAAAGATGGACAGGAAGCCATCAAGCTGTCAGAGCTGGAGTGGCTGTGCTGGTGCCACAAAAGGAACTGGTCACGGAGTGTCAGGAGGTGAAGGGATGCTCATAAGGATAAAATGATTAGCTCAGCAGGAAGGTTAGCAGTTACCTGTGAACACACACCTAACAGATACAGGAAGCAAAAGTGACAGACTTAAGGGAGAAATAGAAAATTCTGTGTCATTGAGACTGCAGCACCCACTCTCACTCGTGGATGCAGTGACAGCCTTCCAGTCTAATCCCTACAGCCAGGTGAAAGGGACCCATTCCTGGGAGGGGTAAGTTATTAAAACTGCCTCAAGAAGAAATAGAGTCTGAGCAGCCCTATGCTGAGTAAGGAATTGCATTAGTGTTGAAAGTCTTCCCAGAGAGAAGCCCAGGTCATGTGACCTCATGGCCCGCTCCTCCTGGGAGTGAAGTGCTTCCTCTCGTCACTGGTGTCCACACTGCGAGAATCAGACCACACCCTTCCCAGTCCTCCGTGTTGCGGCCGTCAGAAGAGCAGACACAGAACAGTCTGCATCACGATGATTGTAGCTGCAGTGGTGCACCAGTTATAAGCCAGAAAATCGTTTTTCCAGGCTTCTCGTTATCTCTATGCCAGAGGCCCGGTGCACGAAAGTCATGCACAGGTAGGGTCCATAGGCCTGGCTGACAATCAGGGCCATCAGGTTCCCTGTGGTGGCATGCGGGTGGCGAGGGAAGGAGGCCCCATCTGGCAGCTAGAAGGAAGGCCCTGGTTGGGAGCTGGCAGCCAGGGAAGGGAGGCCCCGGCCAGTAGCCAGAAGGCCCTGATTGGCCCTGATGGTTGGCCAGGCCTTGGGATCCTACCCATGCACGAATTTTGTGCACAGGGCCTCTAGTTATAGATAATATGGCAGATTTTGGCCTCTGTTATTTCATACATGTACACAGAAACACACAATTTTACATGAATTAGTTTGTGTAGTGTGTGGATCCGTTTTATTTGTTCACTTTTGGGGGTGGTGGGTCACTCACTCTTCAGCTACGACCACACCTGAGGAAAAATTAGCCTGACCTACACTTTTTCCCATAGGATCTTCTTTTTCATGAAATCCCTTTCCATCATGTTGATGTGTCTTTGGGGACCTTAGCACCTTTTTCTGTTTCATTCGCCCTCCTGTGTCCCATGCGGCGGGCTGTTCCAGCCATGTGGAAACCCTCCATTTCAGTCCACTGAGCCAAAACAGCTAGAGCCATCTACTATTGCTTAAATACCATTCTTTCGACATATAATCAATATAAGAAATGATCAGAGAGACATTTACATTCTTCCTCAAGCGGGAGCGGCCTACAGCAAGCAGGAGCGACACTGGAGACCCGGCAGCTCCTAGGGCCGTGGGGCCTGTGTCCGCGGCGCTGCCCCTGAGGCTGGGGATCCCTGTGCCTGCAGGCCCTGCAGTCTGGGCACATGGGCAGCTCTCCCTTTCCTTCCTGGCAACACTGAGTAGTTTGGGGCAGTGGTGCTTGGAGTCCTGCCTTCCTCGTACCAGTGCCCCCGCAGCTGTTCCCATGCTGGGCAGCCTCACTGCCCGCCCCTCACTCTGGTACTAGGCAGTAGGCACCATCATCCCCTCACTTCTGCGAGGAGAGACCAACGCACAGAGTCACCCCATCAGTACCACTGAGGGCAGCTCCTCCAAGGAGGAGGGGAGCAGGTGGGCTGTGGGTGCCGGGAGACCGTCCCTTGGCTGCTGACCCCCAGCACAGCCACGATGAGGGCCCCACCGTGTGGAAGCTGGCTCCGAGGCCAGGAGGTGAAGACGCCGCGGTACGGGGCGCATCTTGTGATACAGACATACCTCACTCGTGTTTGCTCGACCCTGATCCAGCATTTCAGTAGGGGAATGAGTGAAGGGGAAGAGACCTGAACGTGACCTTTGTGCTCACACTTGTCTGAGAATCTGTCAGCAGTCTCAGGCAGCCTTGGTCCCAGGGTTGGGGGGTGAGGGTTGCTGAGTGCGGTGCCTTCCTCTGAGGGCCCAAGGGAGGCTGGCACAGCGCTTTGCAGGGGACAGGTTCCAGATGCATGAGTGCCAGCCTTCTCATCCTTGCTCTGCATTTAAATTCAAAAGTGGAGGATTGGAGCAACTGAATAGAGGCATCACACAACCTGAGGTTCAGGCCGTGTCAGGGAGCGAGACTCCAGGTCACAGGTCGCTGGGGAAATGGATGCTGCTCCAGAGACCACAGCAGCAGCATGCCCTCTTACAGCGAGGACTGTGCTCACAGAAGCTCTTTCCAAAACACGGAAACACCGCAGTCGTGACAGTCTCTGTGATGGCACATCTTGTCACTGTCCCCAGCTGGTTCTAGCTGTGCAGAGAAGTACGATGCCACCTGTCCTTCCTGGCAGAGGGTCTGGCACACGGTGGGGCACTGCGTGTTTGCTGGGCACAGACTGTCTGACAGTCACGGGCGGGTCACAGAGAGCTCGCACTGGGTCAGCCTTGTTTTTCCCTGGTGTGTGACCTGCTTCCCTGTGCAGTGCATGTCAGTGCTGTGCCTGCCGCGTAGGGACTGCACAGGCCCACGTGCCAGGAGGACTTTTTCGTGGGGTTTTCCTCTGCACTTCACTCCGGATGACTCTGCAGCCCAGGTGTGAGGTATTCCTGCAGCCCTTGCTCCTCCTTAACACCCATACCAGGTGCCTTCCGGGACCTGTGCAGGCCCTGGGACACGGCTGAGCACACCTCCCTCGGACGGATCCCTCTCTTCATCCCCAGGTGCAGGTGCTGAGGGACAGCCTGTCTTCCCTGACGGAAGGGGGGTGCCGGGGAAGCTCCACACCGGAGACTGCCTTCGTGTATTTCAGTCACCGGAGCACGCGGCAGTTCACACGGGCTGCCAAGTGTGTGTGCGCGCGTGTGTGAGTGTGTGCACATGTACACACGTATGTACGAGGGTGTGTGTGTGTACGAGGGTGCGTGAGGGTGTGTGTGTGTACAAGGGGGTGTGAGGGTGTGCGAGTGTGTGTGAATGTGTGTGCGCGCGTGCACTGCCTGCAAATGTAGGGATGTGTACATGATAGGACATAAACTAGGGAGAGGAAGTGCTAAAGTTTATTTGTATAAAACTTTTTTTCTTTAGCCATCAGAATTACAGAAGTTTCTCAAAAAAGGATATGTTTATTAACTGCTTTCTCTTTTTAGTCATACTAGTTAATTAGTTAGCAAATTCTTTTTTTTTTTTTTTTTTATATATATTTTATTGATTTTTGTACAGAGAGGAAGGGAGAGAGATAGAGAGTTAGAAACATCGATGAGAGAGAGTCACCGATCAGCTGCCTCTTGCACACCCCCCACTGGGAATATGCCCGCAACCAAGGTACATGCCCTTGACCGGAATTGAACCCGGGGCCCTTCAGTCCCCAAGCCGACGCTCTATCCATTGAGCCAAACCGGTCCCGGCTAGTTAGCAAATTCTTAAAGAGTTTTGGGATAGGGCGTTAGTTTTATAAATACATTTTTAAATTAGCGATTTCAAGTGTATCTCAGACAACGTGGTTTCCCAACCTATTTGCAAGAATCAAATTTATGATTGACTTTTTTTGTTATGTGTTTGATTTTTACCTCTAGGAAATTGAAAAGGAAGACATTGACTTAGAAAATGTTGACTACATGGCCAATTTTGAAGATGATTTTGAAGTATGTATAAACATTAAAAATTTTCTTGGCTTAAAATAATTTGTTCTTAAAATCAGTGTAAGTATAGTAACTTATAGCTTTCTTTCTCCCTTTACTACTCTTAAAATTCCATATCTGTTTGATTTAGGTCTGTTATCTATAAAAAGTTTGTTATATGTCTACCAATGCTTGCCAATATGATGTAATTAAATGACATTATAATTTAATTCATTGTTAAGTACACCGCATCCAATCATATATATGTATATGCATGTATATAGGCATGTATGCACGTGTGTGTGTGTGTATGTGTATGTAGAGCATATATAATACACATGTCCTTATAGTCTAAGCCTGGGAGTTTGTTTTGTTAGTTTGTTACTTTTTTGTTTTGTATTCCACATAGGACTGAAATCACATGGTTTTTGTCCATTTTGTCTGGCTTATTTCACTTAGCATGATATATTCCAGAGTCACACATGTTGTCACAAATGGCAGTATTTCATCTTTGCTTATGTTTGAGTCGTATTCTATTGTGTACATGCACCATGTCTTCTTTCCCCAACCATCCATCGATGGACAGGTGGTCTCCATGTCCTGGCTGTTATGAATAATGCTTCAACAAACGCAGGGGTGCATATATCTATGAGTGTGTTTTCGTATTTTAAAATAAATAACCAAAGTAGGATTGCTGGGTCATATGGTCTCTCTATTCCACACAGTTTTCACAGTGGCTGCACCAATTTGCATTCCTACCGTCAGTGCCCAGGGTTCCCTTTACATCCTCACCAGCACCTGTTATTGGTGTCTTATTGATAGAACCATTCTGACAGAGATGAGGTGGTTTCTTGTGGTTTGATTTGAATTTCTCTAAAGACTAGTGACATTGAGCATCTTTTCATACGGCTGTGGCCATCTGTGTGTTTTTCTTGGAAAAGCAGATTTTGTTGTTGTTGTTGAGTTCTTTCTATATTTTGGATAGTAATCTTTATTGGGAGTATCATTTGAGAGTATCTTTGATGCGTATATATTAGTAAATGTTATGTCTTCTTGATGGATTGCCCCTTTATCAGTATAAAATGTCTGTCTTTTTATCTTGTTATCTTTTGTGTCTTGAAATCCATTTTGTCTGCTTGGTGTGTGGCTTGGCCCGCTTTTCTCCGGACACTGTTGGCTGGGAGTGTCCCCTCCCTCGCTTAAGCCGGTTTGCGGCTGCGGCTGTGATGGTCTCTGAAAGGCAGTGTATTGGTGGGTCTTGTTTTTTAATCCAGGAGCTCAGCCACGCATGCTTGGGGTGATGCTGGCACTGGAGGACTTCCTGCACCTTTCACTGTGTATGTTCTGCCGCTCTGTGTCTCCATCCTTTCTTTCCCTTTCCTTTCTGTCTGCTGTTCAGTCCAGTGGCTTTCTGTCACATTTTTCTTCATTCCCTCTTTCCTAATGTTTTGGCCTCAGCTCTGGGTTTTGTTTTGCGGTTACCATGAGGTTTGTATAAAATACCTTGTAGACGGAGATGTAATCCATTTTCTTCCCCTTACACAATCCAGTCCCTCTCTCCTCCTTTCTATGTTGATGTTTTATGGTGCATCCTTAACAAATTGCAGCAGCTCTAGGTACTTTCCTTGCTGTTTATCTTTGCTATAATTGTTTAGTGCCCTGTTCTGAAGTAGAGGTGCAGTTTCCTGCCTCTGTCTGTCTGTCATCCCACTCACAGTTTTTAAAAAAGCATTTTTATTGATTTCTGAGAGGAAGGGAGAGGGAGAGAGAGAGAAACATCAGTAATGAGAATCACTGACCGGCCACCTCCTGTACACCCCCCACCTGAGACTGAGCCCGCAACCTGAGCATGCGCCCTAAGCTGGAATCGAACCGTGACCCCCAGCCCGCAGACACTCCACCCACTGAGCCACACCGCAGGGCCCCTCCCAGTGTTGCTGCTGCTGTCTTTTTGCTTCAGGTGGAGGAGCCCCGTAAGCGTAAGCGTTCCTTGTGGTGCGGCCCGAGGTGGTGAGTGCCCTCAGGGCTCGGTGGTCTGAGGAAGCTTTTGTTTCTCCATCAGCCGAAAGGATGACTTCATGGATTTATTTTCCTGGGCTGGTGGTTCTCTCTTTCCATATTTTGAGTATATAGTTTCACTCTCTTCTAGCCTGCAGGGGCTCCTGAGAAAGACGAAGATGATTGGAGTTTTCTCTGTCTCTTTGTTCCCCGGCTGCCTTGAGAATCCCTTACCATTAACTTCGGCAGTTTTAACACAGAGTGTTTGGAGAAGGCTTTTTGCGCTGAGATGCCTTGATGCTCTGTAGCTTCCGGCACTGGAGTGGCTTTTCCTCCCTGGGTCTCGGCAGTCCTCGTGGCCCCTCCCTGTCCCCAGGGAAGCTCCTCCCCTCGAGCTGCCCTCTGATGGGCAGAGTGCTCGCATCGCTTCTTTGTTTTTCTCGCTCTTTTTCTCGCACACATCCCCACATCTCTTCTCCCACCTGAATCTTTTCTAGGTTTCTGTCTTGGAGCTCACAAATTCTCCTTTCCCTGCCGAAACCGGTTTGGCTCAATGGATAGAGCGTTGGCTTGGGGACTGAAGGGACCAGGGTTCGATTCCGGTCAAGGGCATGTACCTTGGTTGCGGGCATATCCCCAGTAGGGGGTGTGCAAGAGGCAGCTAATCAATGACTCTCTCTCATCGATGTTTCTAACTCTCTCCCTCTCCCTTCCTCTCTGTAAAAAATCAATAAAATATATTTAAAACAAAACAAAACAAAACAAATTCTCCTTTCCCTATGTTCTGCTCTATTTCCAGTCTCTCTAATGCTTGCTTCCTCCCTCCCTCCCTCCCTCCCTTCCTTCCTTCCTTCCTTCCTTCCTTCCTTCCTTCCTTCCTTCCTTCCTTTATTAAATATATTTTATTGATTTTTTACAGAGAGGAAGGGAGAGAGATAGAAAGCTAGAAACATCGATGAGAGAGAAACATCGATCAGCTGCCTCTTGTGCACCCCCTACCAGGGATGTGCCCGCAACCAAGATACATGCCCTTGACTGGAATTGAACCCAGGACCTCTCAGTCTCCAGACCGACGCTCTTCCACTGAGCCAAACCAGTTTCGGCTCTAATGCATTCTTTATCCCATTTATTGAGTTCTTCAGATCCAGAATTGGTTTGGTTCTTTTTTGTAGTTTTAGTCTTTTGGGTAAAGTACTCCTTTTTTGCTCATTAATTTTTATTCCTGAGCTTATTGAATTTCCTTTCTGAGGTTTTCTTGTATCTCATTGTTTTTTCATGACCGTGATCTTGAATTCTCTGTCATCTGAGTCCGGCATTCCGTGGCTCTGACTTGGGTTTTGGAATTGTCATGATCTCTCTGTGACCCTACTACCTGGTCTGCTCATGGTGCTCGATGGGTTGTTCCTTGGTGGGTGCAGTTGAAGTCGGAGTTCTTCTCTTGTTCTGGTAGGTTTGAGCCTGACAGCACGCTGGTGCTGAGAGGACGTTCTTCTGTCCTCCAGCAGGTAGCGCTGTAGTGCAGGCTGTGGTTTCTCTCACCTGTGCAGTAGCACCTGGTGGCCAGGGTTTGGGGTGTGCTAGCTAGGTCTTGGGGCACCACTACTGTGGGGGGGACGCGGTGGGTGGGGATAGCTGGGTTTGCTGGCCCACAGCACTGCCCCCTGTTGCTTGTGGCCACAAGAAATTGTAGCCAGGAGGCCACAGTGCGTCTCTGCTGCTGTTGGAGGTTGGAGGGAGGGAGCAGACTCTTGGGCAACAGAGCTTCTTCTGCCCTCTCCCCCTTTGCTGGGTCTAGTGTGGACTTGCACCTCGACCTCCCCTGTTATTGTGTTACCTGGGGCCACAGTGGCCACTGAGCGGCATCTGCAGGCACCGTCCCTGCCCTTCCTGTCCCGCCCGCCCTCTTGTTTCCCCCCCCCCCCCCCCCTTGCACAGATGTGCTGTGGGCGGGTCTGGCAGCGTGTTTGTGAGCTAGTGAGGAGCCCGGGCTGGATGACAGATGTCTGACGGTAGATATAAGGGAGATACAAACAAAGGGGTCTTCTTGATCCCCAGGAGGCTGACGTCGACTGTCTATTTTTAAATTATAAACTGCGTGTTTTGCTTTGTGTTCTTTAAAGTCAACTTGTCTTAAAGTTTTAAAAAACATTATTGTTTTTAGGACTATGAAGATGACTTTGAGGTTTGTGATGATGATAGCACGAATGAGCCAGAACCAAATGAGAAAATAGAAGAACTTCCTCCAGCCAGAAAAAAGGAGATACAAGAAATTCAGAACGCCATCAACGCAGAAAATGAGCGGGTTGGCGAGCTGTCGTCGAAGCTGTTTCAGAAGCAAGGCCGATCGGAGCGTGAGAGGGAGCCCGGGGCCGGTACGCGGAGGGCTGCCGTCCGCCCTGGGAGCTGGGCTAGGCCCGTGACTCCAGCAGGCGGCACTCAGAGACCATGTGCCAGCCAGGGTGCTGCGGGGTGTCTGCGCGGGGCGGGTGGCCGGGTGGGCGGAGGGTGCTGTGCACGGCCAGTGCAGAGATGCTCACGGGGTCTCACCCTGTCGTCCTCCCGGTGCCCTCAGTGCCCTCAGTCTGCCCACCCGTCTCGCGCGTCCACCCGGAGGCTCAGGAGCGTCGCGGAGCAGGCGTGGTGGGCCGGTTCAGATGTGGCCGCTGAGTGTGCTGCAGGGTCTTTATGGCATTAGAGTGTGTTTTGCTCAGAAATTTTTGGCATCTTCTTATAATAGTGACACTTGTAAGAACAGGAGTATTTTTAAGTTATAGGAAAAACTATGACATCTTGATAAATCCACACTAAAATTAATACAATATGTCAACTAGGACAAAATTAAAATTACTGTTGGATGATATGCTACTTTAAATTACCCAGTAAACAATCATAAGTGGTAGATAAATTCATTATGCCTGGTAGTTGATGGAACAATATCCGGTGAAGGCTGGGCAGGTGTTACTGCCCTCATAATGGTGCCTGCTGTGGAGGATTATGGGACATTCTCCCGGCGGGCAGCTAAGTACATCCTGGGCGGTGGTGACGCTGCTGCGGAGTGAGGTGTGGGGTTGGTGCCTGCGGTGGGGTTGCTGAGATTCTGTAACATTTTATTCTGAAAAAAAATTTTTTAAGTATATTTTATTGAATTTTTTACAGAGAGGAAGGGAGAGAGAGAGAGAGCTAGAAACGTCAATGAGAGAGAAACATCGACTAGCTGCCTCTTGCACACCCCCTACCGGGGATGTGCCCGCAACCAATGTACATGCCCCTAACTGGAATTGAACCTGGGACCTTTCAGTCCGCAGACCGACGCTCTACCACTGAGCCAAACCGGCTTCGGCTATTCTGAAATTTCTGGTTTTCTCAGCAGAAATTTGAATTACTGTCTTAAAAAATAATTCATGCCCTTCATTGTTCCAGTAACTATGGCCTTTAATAGCTCAATTTACAAGAATTTAGAACCCCCATTAGGACATAATTTTTGTTGTGTTTTTCATTTGTAAGAATTATTCACTCTGATGACACTGCTACTCAAACAGGTGGCGTTGCCCTCCAGGACCCATTGAACCTGGCCCAGCAGAGGTGGTCGTCCTTGTGAAGGGGCCATGGAGTGGCCTCCATGGCACTCGCTCTGTCATTAGCTGTGTGATCCTAGCAGGACCTCACCCTCTCTGTGCCTCAGTGTCCTTCCTGTAAAATAAGGGCAGGCCTTCCTCAGGTGGAGTGGGTTAATCCAATAAGCTAATACATGTGAGGCGCTCCCAGCACTGTCAGCATGTCTTCACAGCGACTGCCATGTGAACAGCCGCCCGCTTGAGAGAGGGCTCATGCCTGTGTCCTGCTGCCCAGCCCAGCCGTCCTCATGTTGTTTCTGTGCACCGCCCTGCTAGCCCTGTGCTGACTGTCCTAGTTGCTTATAAACTGCACTCCTCTCCCTTTTCAGGGCAATAGGAAGTCGTTTTCCGGGTGGTATTTGAAAGTGTTAGGCCGAGGTATTTGAAAGCGTTTCTAACCTCTGAGAGGTGACCTGTGTACTTGGTTGTTGAGGGTGTATTTCCCGAGTGCTGACACATGGCATTTGCCAGCCGCGGCAGGGTGTCGGTGGTTATTCCAGTCCAACCCTGGGCCGGGAGACAGCCAGTCTCCTCATTGCTCAGCGGGCTCCCGGCACCTGCATGTGTGTACAGCTGCAGAGCTCGCTTGTGCACGTGCCCGGTCCGCCCTCGGGCCGCGCTGTCCCGAGTGGAGCTGGCGCACGGGGAAAGGGCCCGGACAGCCTGCTCCGGCCACGGCGGGCGGGTGGCCGAGTCCGCTGGCCCTGGGGAGCCGGTAAAACAGCACCAGGCACGAGAGAATTGAAATAAACATTTGAACAAACAAACGTGGCGGTAAATCGCACAGGAGACCACAGAAACCCTTGGAGGGCACAGGAGAGTTGACATCCTGTACGGAGGGCAGTGGTGGAGCGTCCACCTACCGCCCTTCAGTCTGGGCGCTGCCTTGGACCTGAGCCTGTAAAGGGTCAACGTTAACTTGCCTCCCGCTGTTTTAGCTGCTTGTCTGTTGGTGTCCCAGCTCCCTGACCCAGAATAATTCATGTGGCATGCATGAGTGGGGTTCTGCCTCAGCCAAACTAGGGTGCCCTTCATTGTTCCAGTAACTATGGCCTTTAATAGCTCAATTTACAGAGCATACATTGTGGAGGGCCTGGGGAGAGAGGGAGGAATGGAGACGGCATGTATAAGGGTTCTGAAATAGTCCTAACTCTCCCTGTGCGGTTGGCGCATACACAGTAAGTTTTGCTTTGTTGCCTGAAAGTTTTACATGAAAGTAGCAGAGGCGGCCTCTGCAGTGCTCCGGAATGATGTTTATCGGTATGTTAGCCATGGGATATGGTTTTTAAATGTGCTGCCAGTAGTTTTACGCTTAACATTTTTTGCTTGAAATAATTTGTTTCAAAATAATTGTTGTTGTTGTTTTCTGTACAGACGCAAACAGTTCACCTTCCAGAGCCCCTGTTTGTGGAATTTTTGTGGATTTTGCAACCGCCTCACAACGCCTAAAGAGTCGGACTCAGGCCCTTAAGCAAAAGTAGGTGTCCTGGGAATTGGCAGAAGGTGTTACGGAGTTTTAGTGTATTTTTCTTCAGTACACTTTTACCAATAGAGGTTTTGTTTCACCCCTGACTGTATATTCTTTAGTCTGTGCTGCGTCTCTGCGTCCCTGTCCTGTGAGAGCAGGTATGTGCCGGTCCAGACACTCAGCACCTCCCGCGCTAGCTTTGGGCTTACCCGGGGGCACCCTAGTTTGGCTGAGGCAGAACCCCGCTCATGCATGCCACATAAATTATTCTGGGTCAAAAAGAAAACTTTAAAAAATCAAAGGCTGAAACTTGAATAGATTAATGATAAATAATAATTTTAAAGTTGTTGAGGAAATTGTAGGGATACTTTATAGATAGATGTGTCATTGTGTTGTAAGGCAGTAAGGTACAGAGGAGAAGAACACAAACTGCAGAGCACCGATACTAGATGTACATATGGCACATTAACTCGCAATGTGGGGCAAATAGATGCCTCTCTACAGTGTCCGAGACCAGTTCCAAATGGAGCAAGAGAGCAGTGAGTAAGAGTGCATGGGTAACATAAGCAGGTTTCTCAGTGATAGGAAAGGAGTTTCTGAGAATTAAGTCCGGCCAGTGAGGCTAGTGGTTGAGCATTGACCTATGAAGCCGGAGGTCACTGATTCCTGGTCAAGGCACATGCCAGGATTATAGGCTTGATCCCCAGCGTGGGGCGTGCAGGAGGCAGTCCATCACTGATTTTCTCTCATCATCAATGTTTCTCCCTATTTTCCCTCTCCCTTCCTCTCTGTCATCAATAAAAATATATTTATTTTTAAAAACAGACACAATGTTAAATTTCTGTAAGGTGCAATACTCCATAAACTTGATAAATTTAAAGATGATTGACCAATTGGGAAAATATGTTAGCAGAATGATAGGGGTCTGCTCTCCCTAGTGCACAAACCATTTTTAACAATTTAGTAAGCAAAGCTAAATACCACCAAAGGTCAGTTCAGCTGGAGACCCAGGCCGGAAACAGAAAGTCTGGGAGCATTGAAGTGAGGGGTGCTACAGGTGGCCACACAGTGCTGGAGACGAGGCCCCTCTGGGGGACCGGGGGCTGAGAAACAGCGGCCCGCTCTCTTACTGCTCCCCTGCCTCCACCAGAGGGACCCAGGCTGGTGAGGACACAGTAGAAAACGCTGGGCAGTCAGTAAATGTATGAAAATAGTTACATCTTTATTTTTCTATTTATTGTTTATAAATAGAAATGGAGCAGGTTCTGTGCTCCATTCCTTGCATATGTTATCTCATTCAATATATTTTTGAATTCTTTTTTGTTAAAGGTATTACATATGCCTCCTTTTCCCCACATTGTCCTCTCACAGCCTCCTCCAGCCTCCCAGCCCCAGACTTTACCCTCCCTCCATTGTCTTTGTCCATTGGATATGCTTATACGCATACGAGTTCTTTAGCTGATTTCTTACCACCCATAGCCTCTCCTCCCGCTCACCCTCCCCTGTCTTCCCTCTGAAGTTTGACCGTCTGTTCCATGATTCTATGTCAGTGGCTCTATTTTTGTTCATCAGTTTATGTTGTTCATTATATTCCACAAAGGAGATCATGTTGATATTTATCTTTCTCTAACTGGAACTGGCTTACTTTGCTTAGCATAATGCTCTCCATGTCCACCCATACTGTAACACTTATGGTAAGAGTTCTTTCTTATTTACAGCCAAGTAATATTCCATTGTGTACATGTATTATAAATTGTGCTGCTATGAACATTAGGGTTCATATATCCTTTCTGATTTCTAGTTACTTGGGATATAATCCTAGAAGTGGGATCCCTGGGTCAAATGGGAGTTCCATTTTCAGTTTTTTGAGGAAACTCCATCCTGTTCTCCACAGTGGCTGCATCAGTCTGCATTCCCACCAGCAGTGCTGTTCCTTTTTCTCCACATCCTCACCAGCACTTGTGGTTTATTGACTTGTTGATGGTAGCCATTCTGACAAGTGTGAGATGGTACCGCATTGTCGTTTTGATTTGCATCTCTTGGATAATTAGTTTGGATAATTAGTGACTGAACATTTTTTTAAATTTATTCTTTATTTATTTATTTATTTTTTAAATACATTTTATTGATTTTTGTACAGAGTGGAAGGGAGAGAGAGATAGAGAGTTTGAAACATCAATGAGAGAGAGTCATTGATCAGTTGCCTCTTGCACACCCCCTACTGGGGATATGCCCACAACCAAGGTACATGCCCTTGACCGGAATCGAACCCGGGGCCCTTCAGTCCCCAAGCCGACGCTCTATCCATTGAGCCAAACCGGTCCCGGCGTGACTGAACATTTTTTAAAATGTCTCTTTGCCTTCTGTATGTCTGCTTTCAAGAAGTATCCATTTAGGTCCTTTGCCCATTTTAGATTGGATTGTTTATTTTCCTTTTGTTAAGTTGTATGAGTTCCCTATAAATTTATGAAATTAAACCCTTATTGATGATAACATTGGCAAATATGTTCTCCCACACAGTGGGCTCTCTTGTTTTGTTGATGGTTTCTTTTGCTGTGCAGAAGCTTTTTATTTTGATGTAGTCTCATTTTTTTTCTTTTCTCCTTAGTTTCCATTGTCTTAGGACAGTGGTTGGCAAATTGCGGCTCGCGAGTCACATGCAGCTCTTTGGCCCTTGAATGTGGCTCTTTCACAAAATACCATGGTGTGGGCGAGTCTATTTTGAAGAAGTGGTGTTAGAAGAAGTTTAAGTTTAAAATATTTGGCTCTCAAAAGAAATTTCAATCGTTGTACTGTTGATATTTGGCTCTGTTGACTAATGAGTTTGCCGACCACTGTCCTAGGATATGTGTCAGTAAACATATTGTTACGAGATATATCTGATATTTTGCTGCCTATGGATTTTTCTAAGATTTTTATGGTTTCTCATCTTACATTTAAGTCTTTTATCCACTTTGAGTTTTTCTTATGAGTGGTGTAAGATGGTGGTCAAGTTTCAGTTTTTTGCATGTATCTGTATTTGCTTTTCCAGCACTATTTATTGAAGGGACTGTCTTGACTCCACTATTTGCTCTTTCCTCCTTTGTCAAATGTTAATTGAATATAATGACTTGGGTGACTTCTAGGTTCTCTGTTCTGTTCCATTGGTCTATATGTCTGTTCTTGCACCAGTACCAGGCTGTTTTAAGAACAGTGGCTTTGTAATATAACTTGATGTCTAGTATTGTGATCCCTCCAACTTTGTCTTCCCTCCACCCCCCAGGATTTCTGTGGCTATTTGGGGTCTTTTTTTATTCCCTATAAATTTTTAGAGAGCTTGTTCTATGTCTGTGAGATATGCCATTAATTTTAATGGGGATTGTGTTGAGTTTATAGATAGCTTTGGAAAGTATGGACATTTTAATGAAAATGATTCTACCAATCCATGAACATGGTATATTCTTCCACTTGTTTATGTGTTCTTCTATCTCTTTTTTCCTGTAGTTTTCTGCGTATAGGTCTTTTACCTCTTAGTTAAGCTTATTTCTAGGTATCTTAATTTTTTTGTCACAGTGGTAAATGGGATTTTTTTTTAAGTTTCTCTTTCTGTAGGTTCATTATTTGGTGTATAAAAATGCTATTGATTTCTGAGTGTTAATTTTGTATCCTGCTACATTGCTGAATTCATTTATTAAATCAAGTAGTTTTTTATGGAATCTTTAGAATTTTCAATGTACAATATCATGTCATTAGCAAATAATGAGTTTTATTTCTTTTCCAATTCAGATGGCTTTTATTTCTTCTTCTTGTCTGATTGCTATGGCTAGAACATCCAGTACTATGTTGAACCGTACCAGGGTGTTTCTCAGCATTTAGAAGGGTTCAGGAATCTGGAGAAGGGGCAATGTGTAAATTAATAAAGAGACTAGACATGAAATATAAATTTGGAAGGCATTTTGGGGAGCCAGAGGAGACCTAGCTTCAGTAACCAAGTTCTCCGAACCTCTGGACCCCTAGCTTTTTATTAACACAGTTTTCCCTAAAGCAAATTTATGTTAAAGGTAAGGTTTGGTATACAGTAGGCATTGTCAGGTTGGAGGAACTGCTTTTGGCTATTCAGCTGTTTGGCCTGCAGTAGGTAATAACATGTGGATTTTTAGGTTTGGGGAAATGCTTTCAGCTATTTCAGCAGGCCATAATTTGATTCGGTCCTGCTGAATATAGAAACCCATCAACCTTTTGAGGATTTCTTATATTTTATTATACCCTGCTGGAATTAGCTTTCAGAAGAACAGAAGTGGTGAGAGTGGACATCTCTGTCATGTTCCTGTTTTTAGGGGAAATGGTTTTAGTTTTTGCCCATTGAGTATAATGTTTGCTGTAGGCTTGTCATATAAGACTTTTATTATGTTGAGTTAGATCCTTTTATTCCCACTTTTCTGAGAGTTGTGTTGTTTTGTTTGTTTTTTGTTTTTATCAAGAAAGGGTGTTGGGCCCTAACCAGTTTGGCTCAGTGAATGGAGCATTGGCCTGTGGACTCAAGGGTCCCAGGTTTGATTCATGTCAAGGGCATGTATCTTGGTTGTGGGCACATACCCAGTAGGGAGTGTGTAGAAGGCAGCTGATCTCTCTCATCGGTGTTTCTAACTCTCTATTCCTCTCCCTTTCTCTCTGCAAAAAAAAAAATCAATAAAATATATTTTGAAAAAAGAAAGAAAGGGTGTTGGATTTTGTGTAATTTTTTTTCTATATCTATTGATATGATCATATGATTTTTGTCTTTCAGTTTGTTTATGTGATGTATCACATTTATTGACTTGTGACTCTTGTACCATCCTTGCATCCCCGGAATAAAATCCACTTGGTTATGGTGCATGATCTTTTTAATATATTGTTGGATGCTATTTGTTATGATTTTATTGAGGATTTATCATCTATGTTCATCAGAACCATTGGCCTGTAATTTTCTTTCTTTGTTGCATCTTTATCTGGTTTTGGGATTAGAGTAATGCTGGCTTCATAAAAAGAGG